CTCTGAATTTCTGCACCCGTGCTGGCCTGCCTCCAAGCCCTTGCAGTGAGCCCTCCACCTGCCCCAGGTCATCCGCCAGCTGGAGAACAATATCGAAAAGACTACCGTCAAGATCACCACGAGCCAGAACATCCGCCTGCTGTACGTGGACCTCCTGGAGTACCTGAAGAAGGTGCAGCCGTCCTGGCACAGGGTTTCTGGTCGGGCTGTCCAGGAGCCTCCCCGTCAGACACCCCAGGCCTGCTGTCCTCCCCAAGCTCCCAGCCAAGATGTGGAGGCTCTCTGAAACTTTTTGTTTTAGAATTTCATTTTTAGCAGGGTGTACTGTGCTGTAATCCCAGCACTGGGACGCTGAGACAGGAAGATCACAAACCCAAGTCCCACCTGGGCAATTTAGTGACCCTCTCAAAATAAAAAGGGGGGCTGAGGGTGTAACTCAGTGGTAGAGCACCCCCAGATTCGATCCCCAATACCACACACACAAAATGAACTTCATTTCTGCAAGTCCCAAAAAGCACATTGTGCTTTGCTGAAAAAAAAAAAAAATCCCCTCAGGAGGCCAGACAGGGGTAGACCCCACCGACTTCCACAACTTTCTGAGACTGCTGGGCACACGGCCCACTGCCCTGCCCTAGGGAGGAGCCAGGAAGAAGGGGACAGACCCTGGCCCTAGGAGCCCCTGGCCCTGCACCAGTGATCTCAGCTCCCCCCTTGCACCGCCCCGCATCCACTCTCCTCCTCCACCTGGTGTGTGCCCCTGCTAGCATGTCCTTCTCTTCAAAATATGCACACTTAGAAATCCCCATGGTCAGCTATACTTAAAAAAAAAACTGGCAAAGACTCGCCATTTGTAATTATTATTTTTTGGGGGGCTGGTGAGATGGCTCAGTGGTCTAAAGCACCTACCTAGAACAAGCTAAGCAAAGCACAGGGACCGCGGTTCAATCCCCCAGCACCACATGCCAGCCAGCCCCGCCCCCTGGTGGGCTGAGCTGGCCGCACACACACACAAAAATAAATAAATAAAAATAAATAAATAAATAAATAAATAAATAAAAAATTATTTTTTTAAAAAGCTTGCATTTTATTTATTTATTTTCCGGAACCGGGGATTGAACTCAGGCCCTAGCGCTTAGCCAGGCAAGCACTTATTCCACTGAGCTATCTCCCCAGCCCCCCACCATTTGTAATTATTGACCACAAAACACAGTGAAGTCACATTTACCCACCTGGCCTGTGCTAAACACCCCCTTCATCATCTCTGTTGCTCTGATGTCAACTTTCTAAGACCACCTTTTTACAGAGAGGGAAACTCAGCAAGGTTAAGGGCCCTCGGCTGGCAGGTCACAGGTGGTCTTGGCTGGGAGCATTGACTCCCAGGCACCAAACCACATCTGGAGCCCACTTCAGTCCACTGCGGTCCCCCACAAATCCTGTTTCAGAGTCAGGGAGAACAATTATTTTCATCCAGCCTCTTTTGTCCATAGCCAGGCATGATGGCCCATGTCCGTAATCCTTGTACTCTGGGAAGCTGAGGCAGGAGGGTTACAAGTTCCAAGCCTGCCCTGGGCACGGTAACAACTTAACAAGACCCTGTCTCAAAATAGATTAAAAAGTGACTGGGCACGCAGCTCATTGAAGGCCTTGGGGTCAATTTCCAGCACTGGCAGTAGGGGGCGCCTCCAGGCTGCTGGAGGCCTAGGCTGAGAGAGACCTAGGCTGGTGCTACCAAGTCAGTGTCCCCTGCCCTGTGCCTCCCCAGCAGCTGGGGCCCAGAGTAGACCCCATCACAGTCCTTGGGGTTTATAGTCTGGGGGTGAAGAGTGAGGAGGGCAGGAGTGTACCCCGTGCAGGGCCCACAGAGGAGAGTCCCAGGGGGTCAAAGAGGCTGGTGCAGGGCACAATGGCACTGTAGCTGTCTGCAGCTTTGTGCCCACCTGGTTTGCCCACTATGAGCAGGTGCTGGCAGGATACCCGGTGGTGCTGGACAAGCTGCAGAACCGCGTGATTGGCTACGGCTCAGAGCTGGCTGACATGACAGTCATGTCCCAAGATGCCATGATGATCACAGACGAGGTCAAGGTGAGCTTGGGTCCAGGGCTGTGCCCTTCACAACTGGCTCCCTGGGGCTCGTCTGGCCCCAGGCCCATCAGGACACCACTGGGCACAGAAGCCTTGAGGTGAATGTGGCCAGGTCAAGGCCCCCTCTAGCCCCATCTGCTGCAGTGCCTTCAACATTCTAGGGGACATAAGACTTGCCCGGGGCAGGGCAGGCCCATCCGTGGCCCATGAGGAAACCTTACAGGGCTCTCAGGCTGGACAGCAGGGCCATAGGCTGCTGAGGTCCCATCTCCAGCAGAGCCAGGGCTTGGGAAGAGAAGGGACCAAGGGCAAAGGCCCCAAGGCAAGGAGGCACTTGGAGCACCCGAGCACAGGGCTGCAGCAGAGATCACTGCGTATGAAGCAACAGGGGACAACAGGGTCCCCTGATCTAGAACCTGGCAGGAGATGGAAGAGGAGGATCAGACGGGGGCTTCAAGATGGCCAGCTCTGGCTGCAGGGCTGGACACCAGTGCCAAACCCTGGCCACTTGGGGAAGGCAACGTGGGGTGGCGTGGCCCAAAGCGCTCTGAGCAGAGGCCTCACCCAGTGACGCGGGGGCTGGGAGAGCACATCCAGGGTGCAGAAACAGAACAGGGTGTGTGGGTGTGGGTGTGTGTGTGTGTGTGTGCGCGCGCGCGTGTGTGTGCAGCCACCAGAGCAGGATGGGTAGGGGGGATCAGGTCCCAGGGGGCAGGCCCACATGTGTTTTTAGATGTGTTCAAAGTGGAGGGGCCAGCAGGACCTCAGGGAGGGGAGTGGGGGTAGCAAAGAGCCAGGGCCTGAGAGCAAGGTCATGAGACAAGTGCCGGTGGGGTGTCTGGCCCCAGGGCACGGAGGATCTGAGTGGGGACAGTGGGCATGCGCGCCGTCTCCTGTCCACAGCCAGTAAGAGGAGGACTGAAGCTCACTACAGCTCTAAGCCCAGGAGCTCGCTCACAGCATCTCTATGTCCCCAGAGGAACATGAGGCAAGGGGAAGCAACCTTCATCGAGGAGCGCAGAGCGCGGGAGAACCGGCTCAATCAACAGAAGAAGCTCATTGACAAGATCCATACCAAGGAGGCCAGCGAGAGGCTTCGCCGGGTGCGCCCCAGGCCAGCCCGACCGTGGGAGGCTGATCCCACCCAGCGCACGGCTCACCCTGGCCTTTCCCCCTTTCTCCATCAGGGCAACAGGGACCTGGACTTCCCCTCCAGTAGGACGAGTATGGACACCCTGAGGGGTGAGTCTCAGCCCTCTGCCTGTGCCCAGCCCGGGTCCCTACGGGTTTTCTGGTTGGGATCCCCTCGTCAGGTCACCATGAGGACAGGCGCCTCCTGTAGCCACCGGGGTAGGGGGAAACATCCCCCACTGCCCCTTCGGAGACTGAGAGCTCATGGTGTGTGGCTGCAGAGGAGCCATCTGCAGTCCAGGGCCTGCTCACCCAGGACTCCTCAGGGCCGATGCTGAGAATGCCACCAAGCCCAGTGCCACCCTGGGCTCCCCTGACTATCTCTGAGGAGCCTGGCTAAGGAGGGAGGCAGCTGACCCAGGGCACCCAGCTCCCCAGTGGACGGCTGTGTGTAGAGAGGTATCCCATGGCAATCCCTGAGGGCCAGTTGCCTTTCCCCGCCTTTCTGCCCAGGAAGGAGAAAAGAAACCTCCGGAACAGACATCCAGTACCAGGCCAACGTGGCCGCCTTGGTGGAGAGGGTCAAGTCCGCTGTGCAGTGCCCC